AGCAAGGGTAGTGATGTCCTCCACAGGAATTTTACTCCAGAATTCAGAGAGTTTGGTGAGAGCAGTAAACTATTACAGCACATTCCTTGTCCCTTTCTATTATGGGTGAAATATACCTAACATAAAATGTAGTATTTTAACAATTTTTACAGTGGCATTGTACATGTTCAGTTCAGTGGCATTAAGTCACAGTGTTGTATAACATCACCACTATTTTCTAGAACACCTTCATCATATCAAATAGAAAATTTATACCCATACCCATTAAATAATAACTCCCCATTCCTCCCTTCCCCTTAGCCTCTGATAACCTCTATGTTGGGTATGGGTAGAAAGTGATATCTTATTGCAGTTTCTGACTCTATGAATTTGACTATTTTAGGCAACTCAGATAAGTGGAATCATACAGTGTTTGTCCTTTTGTGTCTGGCTTATTTCATTTCCCACAATGTCATCAAGTTTATCTACTTTGTAGTAGTTTCAGAACTTCATTCCTTTTTTGAAGCTGAATAAATTCTGTTGTATGTGACATAGTACATTTTTTTATTCATTCATCTATCGGTGGACATTTTAGGTTGTTTCCACCTTTTTAAAAAAATATATATTTTATTGATTTTTTACAGAGAGGAAGGGAGAGAGATAGAGATCCAGAAACGTCGATGAGAGAGAAACATTGACCAGCCGCCTCTTGCACACCCCCCACTGGGGATGTGCCCACAACCAACGTACATGCCCCTGACTGGGATCCTTCAGTCCGCACACCGACTCTCTACCACTGAACTAAACCAGTTTCGGTTGTTTCCACCTTTTGGCTGGAATAATGCTGCTATGAATATTGATCCTTGCTTTGTTATTTTGGGAATACACCGTGGAGTTAAATTGCTGGGTCATTTAGTAATTCTATGTTTATTTTTTGAGGAAAATATCGAAGTGTTTTCCACATCACTGCACCATTTTTCATTCCCATCAACAGTGTACAAGGGTTCCAATGTCTCCACATCCTTACCAACACTTGTTATTTTCCATTTCTTTGATATAACCATCCAAATGGGTATGAAGTGATATCATATTACAGTTTTGATTTGCATTGCCCTAGTGACTTTTAGTCATCTTTTTAGGTGCTTATTGGCCACCTGTATATCTTCTCTGGAGAAATGTCTATTCAAGTGTTTTACCCATTTTAAAAAAACATATTTTTATTTCAGAGAGGGAGAGGGAGAGAGAGAAAGACATCAATGATGAGAGAGAATCATTGATTAGCTGCCTCCTGCATACCCCACACTGATCAAGCCCAAACTTGGGCATGAGCCTTGACTGGGAATTGAACTGTGGCCTCAGCCATGCCAGCCTGGTTCTTTTACCCTTTTTTTTTTTTTTTAATCCTCACTTGATATTTTTCCATTGATTTTTTAGAGAGTGGAAGAGAGAGAAAAAGACAGAGAGAAACAACCATGTGAGAGAAACACATTGATTGGTTACCTCCTTCACAAGCCCAGACCAGGGCCCAGGCCAGGGAGGAACCTGCAACTGAGGTATGTGCCCTTGACTGGAATTGAACCCAGGCCCCTTTAGTCGCAGGCTGATACTCTATCCACTGAGCAAAACTGGCTAAGGCTGTTTTACCCATTTTTAAACTGAGTTGTTTGTCCTTGAAATTTTTGAAAAGCTTCAATCTTGGATACTTAATTATTTCTAAAGTCAGTGACCTCTATTACTAATGATATTCACTTATCTCCAAATGAAAAAATTTCACATTAAATTTAACTGAATTTTGAGTGCTGACTTCTTCCACTCTAAGAATTGTAAACTTTTACTAATTCTTAGACAATATTGAGGTTCCTAAATACTATAAATAGAATAATATTTTAGTTGCATTTAAAAAGTTGATTTGCTACTGCTAATATGTGTGTCTCTGTGTGTGTGTGTGTGTGTGTGTGTTATTTTGTTGCACCTTGTAAAAATTTAATTATATATAGGTAGTTTACCTAAAAAGTTAAATCTTGGGTTTTTCAATAGTAATTTTATATTTACCCCTCAACTTTGGAGTTAAGGTTTTGGGCTGTGAACACAATGTTCAAATAGATATTAACTGATTTATTCAATAATTTCTACTAGTTTCTAATCTAAAGAAGTTCAGGGGTGCCCTACCCAGTTTGGCTTAGTGAATAGGGCGTCAGCCCACAGAATAAAGGATCCAGGGTTCTATTCTGATCAAGGGCATGTACCTCAGTTGCAGTCTTGACCTGGAGGCAACCAATCAATGTGTTTCTCTTACATTGATGTTTCTCTCTGTCTCTCTCCCTCCCTTCCACTCTCTAAAAATCAATAGAAAAATATACTCGGTGAAAAAAATTTTTTTTAAAGTGTGTGTGTGTATGTCAAGTTGACAAGAGTTGGACTGAGATAATTTTGTACTGTCAATGTAGCTAAGCAGGAACTACATTTCCCATAATTATCTTTATGATCTTGGTTTTGGTTGGCCACGATAGAAATTTTTAGATTTAAGTGGAAATGAAGCACCAGCCATGTAACTTGGAAGGTCCATGCAGGGTCCCAGGCACCATTGCAATTTTGCACATGATCTGCTGATTCACCTCGTTGGCAAGAGGCAGCATCAGGGCCTGCAGCTCCTCCAGCTCATGTCCTGGATGAGGCACATGTGTAGCAAATCTCAATATCCTTTCTCTCTCTCTCTCTCTCTCTCTCTCTCTCTCTCTCTCTCTCTCTCTCTAATGGAGTGTTTCCCAAACTTCTCTCATGATGAGAATCACCTGGTGGAGTTGTTAAAATACAGATTCCTGAATACAAACTAAGAAGTGCTAAACTAGAATTTTTGGAAACATACAGGTAATATTGTATACTTAACTTGGTGCACAGCTCTAATGTATACACACTTTAACAGCTGCTAGCTCAATTTTGAAATTGAAATGTATTTTAATAAACACTGCCTTTATAGTTATTCAAAGTGTGTGTATACATTTTTGGAGGACTAGATGGATAGAGATCTATCCTATTGGTTCTGGTTTTCTGGTGAATGCTAGTATACTTCCCTATGCAGTAGAATGCTGAACACAATTGAAGTTTTGGCCTTAAGATACCCCTGGTGCAGTGGAAATGCATGGCTCTGAGATCACACAGAACAGAGTTCAGTGGCATAAATGATTTATGGTATTGGAACCTGATTCCTCATCTGTGGAATTGAGATCAAATGTTTACTTATGTGGCTATGCAGGGTTCACTTCAACTTTGTATGTAGAACACCTCACAGTAGGTGCATAGCAAATGTTAGCTTCCCACTCTGCTAAAGGGAGATGTGTTTAGTTAGTGCCATGAGTCTTACTAATGATTTAATTGAAGGGAGTCTCTTTGATATTAAATGTGATGTAGTTATTTGGCATATACTGTCTGGTATCACACCAATACCAACTTCTGGGTGGTTAGCTGTATTTGAGGTCAGTTCTGCCATTTATCTGTGTAAACTCTAGTTATGTTTCCCTGAGACTAGTTTCAATTTAAATATTATTACCTCAGGTTGTTTTTCTCCTCCTCCTCCCCCACCTCCTCCTTTTTGTTATAATAGGAGAAAATGTTGAGCTTAATCTTAAGCATACTGTAGATGTTCAGTACATCTATGTATTGTGAGAGTATTATTAGGGTATCAAAGATGAGTTGGGTCAGTTGTTGCACTAAATGTTAGCATTTAGCATTTAGTTTCAAATCTATGAAACTACAGTGGAAGTTATACTTCTTTTAACAGTAGAGAGCAGATAAAGTAGAAAAATACCCACGGAGGAGGTAAAGTTTAAAGTGATATAAGAGAAACAGATGCCACAATAATAAAACCTCCTGCAGACATTTGCTGATTTATGGGACCATGAGCCTTTAGTACCGCTCTCATGGTAATGGCTATGCAATACTTTCCACCTGGCCAGGGGCTGGTCACAGCAAATAAGTGGGAGGGTGGGTGCCCTGAGCTGCAGAGCCAAATTAACAATTTTGCCCGCAGGGGAGAGCTGGTTCCTGCTGACGTCCTAGAAGAGGCTGGAATGCATTTGGAACAATGGGCTGCAGCTGAGAAGCTTTGACAGTTCAAGGAGAAACGCGAAGAAACGAACCTGCAACTTACATATCCAGCTTATAAACCAGGCCAAGAGTTCTTTACATTCTCATGCTTTCTACAAATCAGCGCCAACGCACAATACCATTGGTAAAAGGGCAAGCTGTCTCCTTTCTCCCTTTGTCTTCTCACTATCATCTTTTCTCATTTTTTTTTTTTTCTTCCGTGCACTCTTTTTCTCAGCCTCGGGGTTTTCCCTCCACCCCTTTGCCCCTTTCTCATTCCCGCATCATCGGCTCCCCAAGTTCTCCGCTTGGCCCGGGATCCGCACCTGCCAGGGCAGCGCGGGAGCCCCAGCCTGCCCCCAACTCCCCCCCATCCACCACCACCCCCCGCCCCCAGGGACTGGCAGTGACGTAGGCGGGAGCTCGGTGCCCGCGCGGGCCGCTGACGTCACTGCCGCAGCGGTCCCAGCGAAGCCCGAGAACGGGAATTCGAGGAAGGGAGCGCGGCCAGGGCCGAGCCCGGGGCTCGGGGTTTCTGGGGTCGCGCGGCCGGCACTGCGCCTCGCGCGCAGGCCGAACTCGCCCCGCACCTTCGCCCTCGCTCGCCGGGGTTCAGCGATAGGGGATGTCCCCGCCGGGCGGGGCCGCGTGCGCACGCGCCCGGGGTGGGGAGCTGCTCGCGGGGAGGCCGAGGGGGCTGCGGCGGGAGGCTGGCGGGGGAGGAAGGCTGCGCGCGAGGTGCGGAGCGGGAGGGAGGCGGCTTGCGCCCGCGGCCGCCAGCCCGGCTCTCGGCGCGGCGGCGGCGGCGCGGGCCTGCGGCGCGGCGTCGTGACGTCACGCAGGCGGCGGCGGCCGCGGTTGGCGCAGGGGCCGCGGCTGCAAAGTGTGAATTACGCCGGCTCGCGCCGCGGGAGGAGTGAAGCCGGGCTCCGGGGGAGGGGCGGGGCGGGGCGGGGCGGGGCCGGACCGGACGGCGGGGCCGGAGAAGCTGGTGCTGCTCCCGAGCCCAGCGCGCCCGGGTCCCGACGCCGGCTCCAGCCTTCCTTCCTCGCATCGCCTCGCTCGCTCTGCCCCGGCTCCGCTCCTGGCTCCGCTCCTCCGGGCGTCAGACCGCCGGGGCTGCGGGATTCCCGCTCCGACTTTGCCCGGGCGGCCCCCGCCTGCACCCCGGAGCCGCCGGGCTCGCGCGCGGGTCCCGGTAACTGTCGCCCCGGCCCCCGAGGCGCTTTCCCGCCGGCGGCCCGGGCGCGGCGTTCGGGCGGCGGAGGCGTGAGAGCGCGGCTTCCCGGCCCGGGGTCCGCGGCCGCCCGACCTACCCCGCCTCGGCCCGGCGCCCCGCAGCCGCGGCCCCTTCCGAGCGCAGGGGCCGGCGGCCGGGGAGGGCGGGCGTGTTCAATGGAAGTATGTTACCAGCTGCCGGTGCTGCCCCTGGACAGGCCGGTGCCCCAGCACGTCCTCAGCCGCCGAGGGGCCATCAGCTTCAGCTCCAGCTCCGCGCTCTTCGGCTGCCCCAATCCGCGGCAGCTCTCCCAGGTAAGCTGCCGGGGCTGTGTGTGTGTGTGTGTGTGTGTGTGTGTGTGTGTAGGGGGGAGGGGGCGGGGAAGGTTCAGTCTTGGGGGGCTTCTCTCTTTGTTCCTCTCTTCCCACCCGGCTTCACCTCCGCGACACCCCCAGCACCCGCCGTCCCCCCAGACCCAGCGTGGCTCATTGTTTGGGGTTTTCCTTCGACGGGAGAGCTCATTCCTTTATCCTCGGACCGTCCCCCCTCAGTGCCCGGCCTCCAGGCAGGTGGGCTCGGGGAGCCCTGGCTTAGACCCTCCCCAGTCCCCGCGTTCACCCCCCCCGGATCAGAGGTTCCAAGAAAGGACTTGTGTCTGTCCCTCCCTTTCTCGAGGTCTCGGGCTGGAAGTTGGGCCTGCCTTCCTTAGTGGTGGCCCTGCACACCTGTGCCCCCTGCACACGCGCGCACACACACACCTGTGCCCCCTGAACACGCGCACACACACACCTGTGCCCCCTGCACACGCAAGCACGCAGGCACACACACCTGTGCCCCCTGCACACGCGCACACACACACCTGTGCCCCCTGCACACGCAAGCACGCAGGCACACACACCTGTGCCCCCTGCACGCGCAGGCACACACACCTGTGCCAGGTTGGCGCCCCGCGGCGCTCAGGGGAACCTGCGGGTCTCGGAACAATAGCCCGGCCCCTGGTGCTGCTCCCCAGGCTCCCGCGGTTCTGTAGACGCACCCTGGGCGGCATCGGAGAAGCTGGAGCCTTTCCATGAAGCTTCGGTGACCGCAAACTTGATAGCCAGGAATCAGTGTTGTTTTTCATTTAATGAGATTTTAGGGGAGAAACTTGCTGGTGAGCACTCACAGGAAAACTTTGCTTTTGAATGGTCCCAAACCAGTTGCTCCTGAGGATTTTGTGGGTTTTTGTTTTTTGTTTGGTGATGCTGTTGGCCCACTTCTTAGTTCTTGCTAATGTTTCATTTTGATGGCCAGATTTCACAGAGGGAGGCCAGAATCATTTTATTTGGTTTAAATGTGAATTTAGTGCCCTGCATTTCCGTTTGCCAGAACGTTTACATGTTCGTGATTACTTTTTAATAAAAATATGTTTGTTTTTCTATTGGTTCATATTAATAATGTTTTAATATCTTTTCTCCCTCTAATTAAATTGTATATATTTCGAGCTGGATGTGTGTGTGTTTAAACTGGAGCACCTGGTAGAGATATTGCTTAAAACAGGTGTGCTCAGTAAATATTTGTCATTCGTGTCTTTGCCTAAATTGCTTTTAGAGAGAGCGAGAGCCTGCCTGTATTTGGGTTTTTCTCTGAATTGTTTTTATTTCATAGGACAAGGTGATATATTCATGAAGTCAGAGACAACTTGTAAAAATTACGATGATATTAAGTGACATTTTAGATAGCACCACATTGTTATTTTGAAAGTTGGGTCTGGATTTCCCTTTATAGTACTGTTGAAAGCATTTTTGGGTTGCAAAATGAATGTTGAAGAGATGTTAGTGCACTGCTGAAAAAGGTTTTCAATGGCAGTAATTGAAGATACTTAATGATAGTAACTTTTTTCAATTCTAAATATTTTACTTTCTCAGATCAGCAGGCACATGACAAATACCCACTTCCTGTTCAATCTAAATAATAAAGGCAATAACTAATCAAATTATAAAATCTAAAATATGAGTAGTTAACTTATGCTCCCTGAGGAGAATGTGAATGAGAAGGGAGATTTCATGGGAATTAAAACAAGTAAGGCTGATGCCAGGGGTTTTACCTGATGTCTTAATTAATCCCTAGAGACTAATTTTAAGTTGCACTCCTTGATTCATTTCCTAGCCTTAGGTTTTAATGGGTAATGGAATGTAAAAAATATTGTGGCAGATGGAGCAGATTATGTAGAGTAGGGGTGTCGAACTCAATCAGAGAAGGGGCCAAAATCTAAAATCCAGCCTAAATCGAGGGCCGAATGGTTTACTGAACAGTCATAAACTGTCATTGTGATGGAAACGCAGCGGAGTGCAGTGATGACAGCGCCGTGCGGGCCACATTGCAAGGTCTGGCGGGACGGATTTGGCCCGCGGGCCTTGTGTTTGACACATGTGATGTAGAGTCACACCATATTTTACTCACTCTTATAACCTGAAGAAAATGTTCTATATTCCAAAGTGAAGTATATTGGAACTTTTGAAAATTTGGACAGAAATTTTCCTGAATTAACACTTTCCTAATCAATGTTGCGAAACATTAAAATAATGATGGTAAACTTATGATGCTGAAATGGGTATGCTTATCAATACCAAAACTGAGAGTATCACTTACTACGAAAAGCATATATTGATAGTGGTGTCTTTAGCTAGATGGAATTTGTAATAGAAAAAAAAAAAAGAAAATGTTGGAATCTTATAAAGAGCTCTATAAAATAAATGTTCAGTTAAATGAATAGCTTTCTTTACCCTGGAATCTTCAGTTTCTAAGTCTAAAGAACCCACAGATAGGTGGCGTGTAGTTTCACTTAAAAGACTTTTAAAAATCTGTTTTTGTGTGTGTGTGTGTGTGTGTGTGTGTGTGTGTGTTTGGGCATTAAGTAGGAGTTTTTTTTTTTGTAGTAGGGTTTTTCTATCTTAAAATATCTTCAAAACTAAAAATCTTTTCAGTTCTTCACCATAATATTGGAGCCTACCTCATAGTGATACTTAAATATTTATTGAATGAGTGACTAGGTAATGAAGTTGTTTCTGACATCAATTTTAAATACAAAAACAATATAAGGACTGTAATCAAGATATAGGAGTGACTTATTTATTCAAAACTTGGTTTGGAACTCGTAACTATAGATTTTAGCAGATTCAGGAAATAAAAGACTCTGAGCAACCAAAATAGATTTGTCGAACTTCTCAAAAGGCTGGGTTTTAGGCAACATTTTGACAAACTTGTTTTCTAAGTAGCAGCACATTGGAAAGGGGGCTGGGAGGCTGAGTCAGGTTCACACTGATAGGACAGAGTTGACAGCTGAAACACCAAAAGGCAGGGTCTGAAGAAAAAGTCTCCTAGCCTCACCTTTTACAAAGGCACCCCGGGGACAGAGAGTTTAGGGGCTTGCCTGTTGTATAGCACAGTTATTGGTCAGAACAATATAAATAGAGCCCATTTTTTAAAGTTTAGACATTTGTGCTGTTTGTTGTTTGTTTTTTTACAATGCTCTCCCTGCTAAACAATTTAAGGGTTGATATTAAATGGGCAAGTGTCAGTTATCTGGAAAATTCATTTATGTGGAACACCAGCTCTCCCTAGGATGCCAAGTAAATGAGGCATTAACTTTTTGTTTCAAACCAGGTCATGCACTACTTTCTCAAATGGTTAATAGGATTTTTTTAAAAACTATTTGAAAATGAGAGAAGTTTGTTTTTGCCATTTTGGGATGTCTATTGTTGTTAGTTGGATTTAAAGATTTATCTTGCAGATAAAGTTCTTACTTGGAAAAAATATATATTGCTAGGGCAGAAACTGTCTTGTTCACCATTGTGACCACAGAGCTTTGCATAGGTAAGTGCTTAATTAGTAAAGGGTGGAGGTCGGGCCAATGCCATGGTCGGCAAACTGCGGCTCTCGAGCCACATGCGGCTCTTTGGCCCCTTGAGTGTGGCCCTTCCACAAAATACCACTGCCTGGGTGAGTCTGTTTTGAAGAAGGAGCATTAGAAGAAGTTTAAGTTTAAAAATTTGTCTCTCAAAAGAAATTTCAATCGATCGTCGTACTGTTGATATTTGGCTCTGTTGACTAAGGAGTTTGCTGACCCCTGGCTAGTGTATTGATGGCAACCAAAGCACTGCACCTGGGATTACTTCAGTCAGAATTTCCATGCACTGGAAACAAGTCTTATTTGGGTTAGAAATTTGAGATTTCATTTTCAAAATTTATTATAAATCTATGTGATATATATTATTTTGAATAAAATACTTGGATCTAACATGTAAACATATGCTTTTAATATCATAATCTAAATTTGATTTCTAGTTAGTTATCTCCCCCCCCCCCCCCCCATAGGCTGGTTTGGTTTTGTTTTTTTTTAGAGCAGTTCAAAGTTCACAGCACAATTGAGTGGAAGGCACAAAGGTTTTTCATGTATCTCCTGATCCCAAACATGTATAACCTCCCCCTGTTATCAGCATCCCCCACCAGAGAGATGCATTTGCTACAAATTGCTGAACCTACATTGACACATCTTTATCAACCAGAGTCCATAGTGAACATGGTGTCTTTTTTTTTTTAAATACAGAAACTATTCCACAAATATTTACCAAACACCTTCTCTGAAGGAGGCACCTTGTGTTAAGTACTGAGAGAGGTAAAGAATTAGTAGTTTTTAAAAAATCACTTGTGAGCCTGCCAACCTACCCAAGTTTTTCTTTTCACCTGTCGTCATAGTGTACATCTGTGTTGTCTTTAGCAGTGTTCTTAGTATGTGAGAGGTTATGAAGGTCCTATATGTATGTTCCAGAACAGGTCAAAACCTGGATAGAAATTGGTTCCTCCTTCAAAAAGCTTACAGGATTGTAATGGGGACAATGGTATGATTCTATGTGATGCAGTTTTTGTCAAAGTGTTGATGAAACTACGGGAAAGTATACCTAAATTACCTGGGTAAATCAGAGGAAGCTCCAAATACTAGCTGAGGCTTAGGCCAAGGCCTGATGGTTAAATAGGTGTTTCTAGATAAACGTGACCCAGTGCATGAAATTCATGCACATTAAAAGAGGATTAGAGGAAATAATTTAATATTGCTGTTTGCCCTTTCTCTATAATAGAAGTGTCAGAGATGAAAGAAAATTAGTGAGATGTATATGAAAACCTTCCTCCTGTCAGAGTCTAGGGTTCACCAGGGGACCCAAAGTCAAGTCCCCACCCACCCACATGCACCTCAAAATCTCGTGAGACCCAGACCCTGCTGGCCCCCCCACATTGGGCTAGATCCAGACCCAGCCAGTTCCACCCTTGTCAGGCC